GGACTTGGAGCAATGGAGCGGGTACTGACCAGGAAGTCTCCTCCCTGAAGACTGGCTCTCATAGTATCAGAGGATATTATGCTGCTAAGAAGAAAGTCCATCAAGGGTCCAGCCCCAGTATAAAGCCTAATAAGCACAACAATAACCAGCATAGCAAACTATCTCTATTTGGTGCAGTAGTGGAACTTTTATCTTGGGGGTAATCAATAGCTATCTTATTGGACTTAAAGCCCTCTCAATGGGAGGGAATTCATATGTGGTACTGTAAACATAGCCAAATATACATAACTGGAGTGGTCATAGATCCCAGAGAAATACCTACATCTGTCATATGCCAGACAAATGTAATTTCTTACTGTTTTAGTTCTTTTCTATTGCTGTGATAAGACCCCATGACCAAGGCACGTTATAGAAGGAACCGTTCATTTTGCTTACAGTTCCAGAGGGGTAAGAGTCCATCATGGAGGGGAGGCATGGCAGCAAAGGTGGCAGGAGCAGAAAGCCAAATGCTCACATCTTCAAACAGGCACAGACAGCAGAGAGCAACTGGAAATCCAGCAAGGCCTAAGGACTCTCAAAGCCTGCTCTCAGTGATGTGCTTCCACCAGCTGTACTATGGAGTAAGAAAACCTAGAAGGTGATGGAATATTAGCAACAGCATATATATACATATATATATATGTGTGTGTGTGTGTGTGTGTGTGTATGTGTGTGTATCAGCATGCATAAAAGGGGGATGGAGAGAAGGTGTGGGCCATCAGGCCTGTTTTTTTTTATTATTATTATTTCAAATATATGTACTTATTATTTTCCTAGAACCTCAATTAAGAACCGCAAATAGGTACTAAATCTTAATGTAGGTATGAACGTGTGGTTTCTTAGCCCCAAAAGATTCCTGAACATCGCCTCTCTAGGACAACACAGTGAGGCTCATTCAGAGTCACCAGCCTGATATCTTTTCTGCTCTGCAGATGACATTTTCTCCAAACACACTAGAGAATGCTCTCTGGTCACACTGCTCTCATGTCTTTTTGGTAAGATGATCATCCCTTCAATATTTTTGGCCATTAAGTTATTTTGTTGTGAGAACAAATCTACCACAGTTGGTCGTTTAGTTACTTGATTTAGTTTTTGTTGTACAATGCAAACATTCAAAACTTGAAGGCTCTCACATGATAACTCTCACATTCCACATTCCAAGGATTCCAAAATCAAACAGTTCCTGCAAAGCAGAATATGTATATGGGTAGTGATAAGCAAAGTAGCAAACATCATCTTTATGTGGAAAGTCCACGGTGAATGTAATTGTATAGTACAATTTTCCTTTTTGTCTACCAGCAGCAACTCAACTTCTTGAGAAGTGATTTTTGTAATAGCAAATGTCAGTGCCCATATGAATCCACCGTGGTCTGGCATTTAATGCTTCCTGAACTGAATACATAAGTGGCTGCATACCATAATTAAACTGACTGTTGGATTTCTCACAGTTAATGATGTTAACCCTA